TCGTCACGGCCCTTGTGGATTTGTTCTTAACTTCGCAATTATCTCACAAACTTCCACAGTTGTCTCACGTATAGGAATTACTAACAAATAAATGGTTAATTTAGACCAAATTCTGAAAGTTGAATGGTGGCAAAAACATTATTAAATATTATTACGGCAAAAACTCGAAATTTTACGGACACTATTTTTAGGAGAAATCTAGAGCCTATAAAGCAGCGCCATAGGCCTAAACAGTCATTCCAGAGAGCTAAAGTTTAGAGAGTACATCCAGCGCGCGCGCACACACGCACACTATTTTTAATATTTACAATGGATACATAACACGGGCCATTATTAAAAAAAAAAACAAGAGGCCTATGCAAACATATTGTTTGTATGTTTGTTACTGTTTGCACAGAACACTGGACGCGTGATCCTGTGGTCCCGGGTTCGATCCCGGGCACCGGCGAGAAACGATGGGCAGAGTTTCTTTCACCCTGATGTCCCTGTTACCTAGCAGTAAATAGGTACCTGGGGGTTAGTCAGCTGTCACGGGCTGCTTCCTGGAGGTAGAGGCCTGGTCGAGGACCGGGCCGCGGGGACACTAAGGCCCGAAATCATCTCAAGATACTGAAGCAAAATACCGTATAGGAAACTACTAGAGGTTACCTTACGGCTGGTTCCAAGGATCAACACCCCTGTGGCCCGGTCTCTAAGCCTTCCTGGAACGAGGACGTCTTCAAGAGAAAACGAACTTTTTCAAGTGCCGTGGTGGGTGTGGGCCTTGCGGGCCGCTCCAAGCAACAGCCTGTTGGACCAAACTCTCACAAGTCAAGCCTGGCCTCGGGCCGGGCTTGGGGAGTAGAAGAACTCCCAGAACCCCATCAACCAGGTATATGTGGGCCTGCGGGCCGCTCCAAGCAACAGCCTGTTGGACCAAGCTTTCACAAGTCAAGCCTGGCCTCGGGCCGGGCTTGGGGAGTAGAAGAACTCTCAGAACCCCATCCAGGTACAATCCAGGTCCAGCGTGCGTGCAAATAACATCTTGCACATCCATAATCCCCCGAATAAAACATCTAAATTATTGAAACGGCTTAAAAATTGTTAACAATGACACTTGATCAACCGGGCAACAGGAAGATTACTCCTCGAATCCCCCATCAAGGTAACCTCAAGGTAGGCTACAGGAGCCGACATACCTGTGGGCGAGGCAGGTGGGGAAGGTGGGAGGGGGAGTTGGGGCAAAGTGACATGCAAACACCACCTGTTGGCCACTGTGGGGGAAGAGGAGGTAGGGAAAGAGAAGGGGAAGGAATAGAGAGGGGAAGGAATAGAGAGGGGAAGGAATAGAGAGGGCGGGGAAATAGTGGTGGGGGAAGATCAAGATGATAACCTATTACAAGACTTCCCCCTAAACATTGAAGTAGTGCATTCAGAAGCCTCACACTGCCCCCAATACTCGAGCAATTTCCTCCTGATAAGCTGGTGCGGAACAGTTAGGCATTATGTGGGGGAGCAGAGTTGACATCCTCAGCCTAGCTCAGTGGTGGTGGTTACCGCTGCCACCACCGCAAGTGACGCCCACAGCAAGAGGATGGGGGTAGTGGGAGGAGTGGTGGTGGTGGTGGTGGATGTTACCACAACAACCACTACCACCATCGCTAAGATGAGTCAACCTTGCATACAATTCCACCAGTGACCGGAAACCAGTTTCCTGTTGACGGCGCGGCTGCGTCACTCCTGCTGTCGACCAAGCTACCTCACCCATCACTCCTGTCGACCAAGCTACCTCACCCGTCACTCCTGTCGACCAAGCTACCTCACTCGCCACTCCTGTCAACCAAGCCACCTCACCCGTCACTCCTCCTGTCAACCAAACCACCTCACCCGTCACCACTGTCAACCAAGCCACCTCACCCGTCACTCCTGTCAACCAAACCACCTCACCCGTCACTCCTGTCAACCAAACCACCTCACCCGTCACTCCTGTCAACCAAACCACCTCACCCGTCACTCCTGTCAACCAAACCACCTCACCCGTCACTCCTGTCAACCAAGCCACCTCACCCGTCACTGGTGTCGTCATTCAGAGGGGCAAATGCCCCCCTCCCCACCCAACCCGATCTCTCAACCATAACTCCTAATTGTTCTATGAAACAACCCTGGAAACACAAATCGAAACACTCTATTTTCCGCTTGTTACAAATTGTAATAAAGTTGTTACATCTTGGCTTAACGTGTTTATGACGTATTAGAACGGTGTTACAATTTGCTATATTGGTTGTTATAACTGGTTAGGTGGTGTTAAAACTTGTTCGAACGTTGTACCAACGTCGTAGTTTCGGTGTGGAATACATCATATTCCGGATTAAAAATGCCCCCAACGTCAAAAAATATTATAAAAAATATCGCAGCGGCTCGCAAAACTGAGTGGCTGGTTCTATTCCCGGGTCCTGGGTTAAAAACGGAGCTTCGGGTCAACTGACTACATCATTTTTTCAGACGTTGTGACGACTCGAGAGGACAAGGGGGGGGGGGCGGCTAACGTACGAGCCACAGCCTGGTTGGTTAGGTTTGTCCTTTGGGAGGTGGTTATCAAGGCTTCCTTTGGGAGGTGGTTATCAAGGCTTCCTTTGGGAGGTGGTTATCAAGGCTTCCTTTGGGAGGTGGTTATCAAGGCTTCCTTTGGGAGGTGGTTATCAAGGCTTCCTTTGGGAGGCGGTTATCAAGGCTTCCTTTGGGAGGCGGTTATCAAGGCTTCCTTTGGGAGGTGGTTAGCAAGGCTTCCTTTGGGAGGTGGTTATCAAGGCTTCCTTTGGGAGGTGGTTATCAAGTCTTCCTTTGGGAGGTGGTTAGCAAGGCTTCCTTTGGGAGGCGGTTATCAAGGCTTCCTTTGGGAGGTGGTTAGCAAGGCTTCCTTTGGGAGGTGGTTAGCAAGTCTTCCTTTGGGAGGTGGTTATCAAGGCTTCCTTTGGGAGGGGGTTAGCAAGGCTTCCTTTGGGAGGCGGTTATCAAGGCTTCCTTTGGGAGGTGGTTAGCAAGGCTTCCTTTGGGAGGTGGTTAGCAAGTCTTCCTTTGGGAGGTGGTTATCAAGGCTTCCTTTGGGAGGTGGTTAGCAAGGCTTCCTTTGGGAGGCGGTTATCAAGGCTTCCTTTGGGAGGTGGTTATCAAGGCTTCCTTTGGGAGGCGGTTATCAAGGCTTCCTTTGGGAGGTGGTTAGCAAGGCTTCCTTTGGGAGGCGGTTATCAAGGCTTCCTTTGGGAGGTGGTTAGCAAGTCTTCCTTTGGGAGGCGGTTATCAAGGCTTCCTTTGGGAGGCGGTTATCAAGGCTTCCTTTGGGAGGCGGTTATCAAGGCTTCCTTTGGGAGGTGGTTAGCAAGGCTTCCTTTGGGAGGTGGTTATCAAGGCTTCCTTTGGGAGGCGGTTATCAAGGCTTCCTTTGGGAGGTGGTTAGCAAGGCTTCCTTTGGGAGGCGGTTATCAAGGCTTCCTTTGGGAGGTGGTTAGCAAGGCTTCCTTTGGGAGGCGGTTATCAAGGCTTCCTTTGGGAGGTGGTTATCAAGGCTTCCTTTGGGAGGTGGTTAGCAAGTCTTCCTTTGGGAGGCGGTTATCAAGGCTTCCTTTGGGAGGCGGTTATCAAGGCTTCCTTTGGGAGGCGGTTATCAAGGCTTCCTTTGGGAGGTGGTTAGCAAGGCTTCCTTTGGGAGGTGGTTATCAAGGCTTCCTTTGGGAGGCGGTTATCAAGGCTTCCTTTGGGAGGTGGTTAGCAAGGCTTCCTTTGGGAGGCGGTTATCAAGGCTTCCTTTGGGAGGTGGTTAGCAAGGCTTCCTTTGGGAGGCGGTTATCAAGGCTTCCTTTGGGAGGTGGTTATCAAGGCTTCCTTTGGGAGGTGGTTAGCAAGGCTTCCTTTGGGAGGCGGTTATCAAGGCTTCCTTTGGGAGGTGGTTAGCAAGGCTTCCTTTGGGAGGCGGTTATCAAGGCTTCCTTTGGAGGTGGTTAGCAAGGCTTCCTTTGGGAGGCGGTTATCAAGGCTTCCTTTGGGAGGTGGTTAGCACGTCTTCCTTTGGGAGGAGGTTATCAAGGCTTCTTTTTGGTTGTTGTTAAAGATTCACTACCTGGAACCAAGTTCCAAGTAGCACGGGCTATGGTGAGCCCGTAATTCCTTTTGGACGGGGAGAGAGGTCGGCCATTTGTGTCCTTAATTAAGTTAAGAGCGAGAGTGTTGAACCAATCCGTCATCTTATTTATTACGTCGCTTTTCGCTCGTATGTGCAACTCAGGCTAAAAAAAATCGACGTAATTCAAAATGGAAATTTTCCAATTAAATTTTGGAATATTTTTGTTTCCCAAAAACAGCACGTTAAGGGTCCTCTGGAAGGTTAAGAGGGCAGGAAGTTCTCCTAAGGGAACCGGTCGGCCAAGCGGACAGCACGCTGGACTTGTGATCCTGTGATCCTGGGTTCGATCCCAGGCGCCGGTGAGAAACAATGGGCAGAGTTTCTTTCACCCTATGCCCCTGTTACCTAGCAGTAAAATAGGTACCTGGGTGTTAGTCAGCTGTCACGGGCTGCTTCCTGGGGGTGGAGGCCTGGTCGAGGACCGGGCCGCAGGGACACTAAAGCCCCGAAATCATCTCAAGATAACCTCAAGATAGAAGAAGGGTTCAAAACGTTATGAAAAACTTTAAATTAAAGTTCCGCTCCTAATCAAACAGCCTAAGCCAGAGGCCCCAAAACAGAAAACGGGGCAGTATGTCACTTTCGCCAGCCGATTTCACCTTGAATTACGTCGATTTTTAGTCTGAGTGCGCAACCCGTTCTCGCACTTGCTTACTGTCAATATTGGCTTATTTAATAAGTGCATATGTGACATACTAATTGATTGTGAATATTTTAGTTTACCTTGAAAAGCTTCATAGAAAACACCGACCTCACCTAACCTTCTTAGTATGTTAAGATAAGCATCTTATTGCTTCTTAAACATACTAAGAAGGTGCGGGTACCATCCCGTCTGCCAGAGAAGATGCGGGTACCATCCTGTCTGCCAGAGAAGATGCGGGTACCATCCCGCCTGCAAGAGAAGGTGCGGGTACCATCCCACCTACAAGAGAAGGTGCGGGTACCATCCCACCTACAAGAGAAGGTGCGGGTACCATCCCACCTACAAGAGAAGGTGCGGGTACCATCCCACCTACAAGAGAAGGTGCGGGTACCATCCCACCTACAAGAGAAGGTGCGGGTACCATCCCACCTACAAGAGAAGGTGCGGGTACCATCCCACCTACAAGAGAAGATGCGGGTACCACCCCACCTACAAGAGAAGATGCGGGTACCACCCCGCCTGCAAGATATCAACCAGCCAACTCGTTCACACCACATAATCCTCTCCTTGTAATGTTGTCTAGGTTCCAGCCGGGGAAAGGGGGCGGCGTGGGGGAGATATCAGAGCCCCCCCTCGAGGCCTTATCTATATACACACTAATATATCAACCCAACCCCCGGGGGTTGAAAATTGCTCAATGCTGTAACGCCCTGATGCAATACTGACCAAAAGTGGACTAACCCGTCACACCGCGGGAGAATTCAGGCGCAATACACGCAAAAAATAATTAGTAATGAGTGGGTAGATTAGAGGAACAGGATGCACAGTCAAGGTGAAGACAGTGGAGGCAGTATGCATGTGCCAGTTGCGTCTTCACGGGGGTAGGAGTGAGAGGCTGAGATCTGGGGTTTCTCTAGCCCATAAACCCCCCCCCCCCTACCCCTTCTGGGGCTACTCCCGCGAGGATCCCCTTCCCACCTGGCATGTCTCAAAGACAAGATCCTCCCCTGCTTCCCTCATTAGGGAGGTAACTTATGTAAGAATATAGTCTTTCTCAGTGAGAGACTCCTTACTTTCCCTCTCTGGGTGCCTGCTTGCCTTAATGAGAGACTCCTAAGCCATACCGCTGAAGACACCAAAGTTCTAATGTGAATTCCTCCGTCTCTGATCTAATACATCATGATGCTCTTCCCACCATGAAGAGGGCTTCTGGTTCATGAGGGTTCCAGAAGCTATCATGAGGAGGGTTCATGAAGGTTCCAGAAGCCCTTATGAGGGCTCACGAGGGCTCCAGAAGCCCTTATGAGGGTTCATGAGGGCTCCAGAAGCCCTTATGAGGGCTCATGAGAGCTCCAGAAGCCCTTATGAGGGCTCATGAGGGCTCCAGAAGCCCTTATGAGGGCTCATGAGGGCTCCAGAAGCCCTTATGAGCGGCCCGGTCACCGACCAGGCCTCCTCGTTGCTAGACTGGTCAACCCAGGCTGTTGGACGCGGCTGCTCGCAGCTCATCTCATGATGAGTTTGGATGAGATCAGTTTGGGATGAGTGGCGCTGCCCAATAAACTCGCCCCTCGGGGCAAAATTAAAACAAAATTTAATGCTAACACATTGAGCTGTTCCTATGTGCAGAATCATCATTTGCTATAGGTACCTTTACTGCAGTTACACGCTTCGTGTGCTGCTATGGCGGTGTGTGTGTATGTGTATGTATATGTGTGCATGTGTATATATAAATGTCCGTTCACAGGATGAGTGACTGCCCCATAAACCAGCCCTCCGGAGCAAAATAAAAAATTAATGGGGCTTGGTAACCCTTATGGAGATTCTGGCTCATGGAGCCCCCAGCCGCAGGAATGGGGCGTTTCTCCATACCGTAGCTTTTAAGATTATAAATAAGGGGGGGTAGGGAGGGGTAGGTGAAGTACCTTTGCACCCCAGAAGAACACCCCACCCGCGGCCTGGTCGACGACCGGGCCGCGGGGACACTAAGCCCCGGAAGCACCTCAAGGTAACCTCAAAGTAACCCCATATTCCTTGATACTGGCGGAAGGTTTGCAACGGAGGCCAAAGGGGCTAGAGAAGTTGCAACCCTTTGTAGGGGACTACGAAAGGGGGTGAAGAATACATTCCAACAGAGGGGGGGGGAGAGGGTAGTGATCCAACGTCTTAACTACCCTTGCAACCCAACGACCAGCCGGTACTAACGAGGGGGGTCGCCCCTATCGCTGCCTCAACAAGGCCACTGATGGGCCACAGAGAGAGAGAGGGGGGGGGGGGTGTGGTGGTGGGGGGAAGGGGCAGCTATCAACGACCCCCCTCCCCCCTCACCCTCACCATCCCCTACAGTGCCTACTCTGTTTAGCTTCACCGTCCTATCCTGCTACCTTCATCTCCTCTTCATAACCTCTCTACCCCGCCTTCCACGAGCAGAGAATGAAGAGGGGGGAGGGGGAAAGGGGGGGGAGGGGAAAGGGGGAGGGGGGAAAGGGGGAGGGGGGGAAAGGGGGAGGGGGGAAAGGGGGAGGGGGGGGGAAAGGGGGAAGGGGGGGGGAAAGGGGGAGGGGGGGGGAAAGGGGGAGGGGGGAGGGGGGGGGGGGGAAAGGGGGAGGGGGGGAAAGGGGGAGGGGGGGAAAGGGGGAGGGGGGGAAGGGGGGAAAGGGGGAGGAAAAATTGAAGGGAGAGAAAGAGAGAGGAGAAAGACACAAAGGGGAGAAGAGAAAGAAATGAGAGAATAGGGTGATAGGGAAGGAAAAGAGGAATATAAATGGGTTGAGAAAGAAGCAGGAAATGGTTCTGGATTGTACCTGAATGGAGTTCTGAGAGTAGTTCTACTCCCCCAGACCCGGCCCCGAGGCCAGGCTTGACCTCTGGAGAGCTTGATCCACCAGGCTGTTGCTTGGACCACATATCCACCACAGCCCGGTTGATCCGGCACTTCTTGAAGAAAACTATCCAGTTTTCTCTTGAAGACGTCCACGTTTGTGTGGTTTGAGAAGGCGAGTGTATAGGAGAAGAGGAAGAGATGGAACGGGAGGAGGGTGAGAAGGGAAAGGAGAAGGAAGAGCAAGACAAGGCGATGACTAAGGCAACGGATTCCTACCCTATTAAGGGCAACGAGGCTTACCCTCGGACAAGGGTAGCGGGTTTACAAGGGTGTGAGTTACAGGGGGGTCAGGTCACCCCCAACACACGCCAGGGCTCCCCCCCCCCCCCAAGGGAGCCCCCCCCCCTACAGGAGTGCCACACACACGCGCACACACACACACTCAAGTGCTGGCACCGGTTGGCACTCCTCCCCCCTTCAGGATAACTAGAGGGGGAGGAGGGGTAGGGGGGGGGAGGCTGGATAGGTTATACACTAATTTTACACGAGAGACTGAACAAAAAATACAGGAACTGAGAAGTTTCTATGCTCCATTTGGCAGTGTATGAGAGTATGGCGCGCGCGCGCACACACACACACACACACACACACACACACACACACACACACACACACACACACACACACACACACACACACACACACACACACACACACATTGATGTGGTGGAGGCTGACTCCATATACAGTTTCAAGTGTAGATATGATAAGAGCCCAATAGGCTCTGGAACCTGTACACCTGTTGACTGACGGTTGAGAGGCGGGACCAAAGAGCCAAAGCTCAACCCCCGCAAACACAACTAGGTGAGTACAACTAGATGAACACACACACACTGTACACCAGTTGATTGACACTAGAGAGGTGGGACCAAAGAGCCAAAGCTCAACCCCCGCAAGCACAACTAGGCGAGTACACACACCAATCGAGTATAACCATGGCTGTTAGAAGAAGCAGCACAGGCCCTCAGCATACCTCTAGCGCTAATCTTAATTAACACCCTAACAAGGGGTTGGGGGAATTGCCCAACTGCTGGAAGAAGGCAAATGTAGTGCCAATCTACAAGACGGGAGATAGATAAGAAGCACTTAACAGGCCAGTGTCACTCACAAGTATCCTTTACAAAGTACTTGAAAGACTTATAAGGCTAAGACTAGTTGCACACCTAGAAAGAATTGAGTTTGTAACTAAACAATAACACAACTTTAGAGGAGGGAAATCATACCTGACGAACCTCCTGAAGTTTCATGATTAAGGTTATCTTGAGGTTATCTTGAGATGATTTCGGGGCGTTAGTGTCCCCGCGGCCCGGTCCTCGACCAGGCCTCCACCCCCAGGAAGCAGCCCGTGACAGCTGACTAACACCCAGGTACCTATTTTACTGCTAGGTAACAGGGGCATAGGGTGAAAGAAACTCTGCCCATTGTTTCTCGCCGGCGCCAGGGATCGAACCCAGGACCACAGGATCACAAGTCCAGCGTGCTGTCCGCTCGGCCGACCGGCTCCTTAAGGTAACGAAAATAAGACAATAAGGATGGACAGATTGCATATTTCTGGACTGCCAAAAAGCCTTTGATACAGTACCACACAGGAGGTTACTATACAAACTTGAGAGGCAGGAGGGAGTAGGCGGCAACGCATTAACATGGGTAAGGAATTACCTAACAGACAGGTGTCAGAGAGTGACAGTGAGGGGCGAGGACTCTGACTGGCGTAGAGTAACAAGCGGGGTGCCGCAATGATTGGTGCTGGGACCCATACTCTTTCATTTATGTAAACGACTTGACTGCAGGTGTTGAATCTTATATGTCAATGTTTGCAGAAAATACCAAACCAATGAGGATTAAGACAGATGAGGATTGTAAGGGCTGGTCCGAGAAATGGCTGCTAGATTTCAACATCAGCAAGTGTAAGGTGATGGAAATGGGATCAGGAACCAGGAGACCGAAAGGCCAATACTTGACGGGAAACTACCTGACCAAATCGACTAGAGAAACGGATCTGGGAGTGGACATCCTGCCAAACACACACCGAAACTACGACGTTGGTACAACGTTCGAGCAAGTTTTAACACCACCTAAGCAGTTATAACAACCAATATAGCAAGTTGTAACAACGTTCTAATACGTCATAAACACGTTAAGCCGAGATGTAACAACTTTATTACAAGTTATAACAAGCGGAAAATAGGGACAGTTTCGGTTTGTGTTTCAAGGGATAACACCAAACTTAACTCCAGAGGCTCATATAAGTAGAATAATGTCGGCAATGAGTCACAATAACGTGGCTAAATTATGTTAACCAGACCACACACTAGAAGGTGAAGGGACGACGACGTTTCGGTCCGTCCTGGACCATTCTCAGGACAATTGACTTGAGAATGGTCCAGGACGGACCGAAACGTCGTCGTCCCTTCACCTTCTAGTGTGTGGTCTGGTCAACAAAATAGAATAACGTCAGCCGCATACTCTGGCAAAAGTCAGAATATCCTTCAGAAACCTGAGTAAGGAGGCTTTTAGATCACTGTATACCGCCTATGTGAGGCCAGTCTTAGAGTATGCCGCACCATCCTGGAGCCCCATCTAAAAAAAACACACAAGGAAGCGCGAAAAACTGCAGACGTTTGCAACGAGAGACTTCCCAGAGCTGCGAGGGATGAGGCACGAAGAGAGACTGAAAGCGCCAAACCTG